TGTGTGGAGCCTGACATACACGCGCAGGGAGGGCTGGCTGAGGGGCAGTGTGGGGGATGGATGGGTGCAGGTGCGAACGCAGGTCCACAGGGGAAGAGATGTACACGGAAGCCTGGCTCACCTCCTGCTCTGACCTCCCCGGACTTAGCAGATGAAAGTCCAGGCCATCCGGAGAGAGCAGGTGAAGGCAATAGATGTCTGCACACGGGGTCTCCTGTGGTCCCCGCTGTCTCAGAGCCCTCAGCGGGGTGTTTCATACGCCTCGGGAGAGCCGTCTCTCTCAGGTCACCCCGAGTCAAGGAACCCACCCCTTTGCCTCCCCCAGGACATCTATAAATAGGCCGTGCTTGCTGGAGGGCCAGGGCCACGTCGAGCAAGGCCAGGTCCGGGCAGGCCTGGGAGGAGCTGAACACGGCACCTTGTGCTCCTGCACCCGACCAGCTGCCATACTGAAAGTCACAAGGAGACCCCAGCCCTCCCGTCCAGCCCACGGTGTGCTGGGTGGCCGGGTCCTTCACCTGGGCCTGGCTGAGCAGCTTTCCTGAAGCGTGAAGGTAAAGGGAGAAGCAGAAAGACACAGATGGAACATTCCACAGGCCCGTCCCTGGCTCCTGGGTGGAATCCATCTTTGGAGCCTGCGGTAAGGAGATCCCGACTGCAGAGTTCCAGGCCCTCGGCCTCAGTGGGCACTGCCTCCTCTGGGCCTCAGTTTCCCCATCTGTAAATTGGGGCAACACCTCCTCCCGCCTCGGGGGTGACGTGAGTGCGTGTGCGTAGAAGTGGTGCTTCCATCCTCGGTCCTTCTGGAGGTGACCACTCTGTGCGGGGCTCTGTGCGGGTCCCGCCGGTGCCGGGAGGAGACATGGTTCCTCCAGGGACAGAATAAATGGCAGCAACAATGCTGGAGCTGGGGGCGTGCGGAGCGCAGGGGGCACAGCTCGGGGGCAGTGAGCGGCAGAGGGTAAGCCGTGCCCAGCCCCTGGGCTGTCTGCCGGTGGCTCGGGAAGGGTTAACTGAGTTTAGCTGTCCCCACGCTTCACGCTGGACTGCACCCAACTGTTTGGGTTTCCAGCTCCCCTCCTGCCTCAAGGCCAGGCCTTATCTTGTCATCTAGACGGTCCCCAGAGCCCCAGAGGCAGCACAGGCCAGGCAGGGTCTGGCACACAGCGAGTGTAAACCGTGGATCGAAACCTGCACCCCAGAGCGCGAGAAGGGGACATGGGAGACGCTTTCCACTTGGTGAGAAGTCTGTTCAAGGTCCTGCGGATGAGCGAGAAAAGGGGGCGCCCCACTGCATTCTGGGGCGGGGGACCTTGAGCAGGGAGCCCACAGGAGCGCAGAACCTTCTGGGACTGTGCCCCACCCCCTGCCAGGGACCCACCTCCTGAGCCGGTGCCCTGGAGCAGCCACCCCGCCTTCAGCCGGGCCCAAAGGGCCTGACGTCAGTCTGTTCCTCCTCCAAACAGCAGCAAAAACAAAACGCAGGGCCCTTCTTTCCCTCCTTCCCCTGTGAGGCCCAGGTTTTAAATCGGCCTCTTAGATCCTCCAAATGAGATCTGAATTCTAAGCACAGTTTCCTCTTTAACGATCCTGAAGGTGGTAACTACTTAGAACACAGATGTTAGAGTCGAAAGAGAAGTGTCTGGAGATTCCCGCTGTTGTCAGAAGTAGTCGCTGATGGCGGGACACAATTTTGGCCTCAAGCGCCTCCTGTAGGAAGAGCCCCCGTGTGCTGGGGGTTCCTTCCCACCCAGGCCTTAGCCCTGAGCAGAGCAATTCGGAGTAGGCGCTCTACAGCCACTGGCCGCTGGGACTCCTGACTGCCACCACTCCTACCAACAGCTCAGGAAGGCAGGTGGGAGGGTTTCCAACCCGCCTGCTAATCAGATGGGCACGGCAGGGGATGCAGAAGGAGTTTTCATCTTGAACACGATGGAGAGTTCCGAAGGCCTCGGGCTCGCCAAATTTAGAACGCAACAATACCATCTCCTGGGCAGCAGCTACAAGTGGCACAGACATGAGAAGCAGCGAGCGGGGACGGACGGCACCCAGAACTGGAGCAGCGATGGGAGTGAATCTGCCTTCTTGGAGCCAGTGGGACCTGTGCTCGTCCCTCCTTAGGACAAAGGTGCCTGGGCCTGGGCTCCCGGGAGAGCTGGCCGGCGGTCAGTGTGAGAGCCCGACAAAGCCTCTGACGAAAACGGCGGCCACAGATCCAAGGCAGAGTGGTAATTATATATGTTCTTAAAATCCCGTTCACCGAGTGTGCTACTAACTGCATCCGGGAAGCAGCGTACATTAGCAGAGGGAGTGAGGGTGGTTCCTGCCCCACCTTGGAGACCCGAGCTCAGAGTTGAAGCATGCACGCTCAAGAAACCGCTCAAGGTTAGATTCAAAAGAAGAACGCCCCTGAAGATGCACCCGACTCATTAATATCACTGTCCGATAGGAGGCGGTTCCTTGGAGGGCCTGGCTTGGGGCTGGGTTTTGGTCTAGGCCTAGGAGCACCTTAATTTGCATTTATATTAAAATAGAAGAAAACAAACAGAATTAACTAGATAGGTGCTTGGCTTCCCGTAAATTCGAGCTCTTCAGAGCTAAACAGTTTCCTAGGGCAGAGTCAGGCTTAGCTGATGTCAAAATTCATGGATTCTCACCTACGAAGTGCACACAGCGCTGTACCAGGCGGCTGCAGGCACGAGGGATCCCACTGGCCCTTCAGAGTCACCCTGGCGGGAGGTTGCAGCGTCACGCCCCTTCTACAGGTGGGGAAACAGGTTGGGAGTCAGCACACCACCCTGCCCTTCATGGAACTCGGGTTCCAAGCCCCGTCAGCGGGCTCCAGGTTCAGCATCTTTCGACCACAGGGCAGCTGAGTTAGGACAGTCTTTTCTTCCTAGCCTTACACATACATTCCACCCTCTCTTTCCGGAAAATCAGTTGAAAACTCAACAAAAGAAGTGAGGAATAAGCCAGCACGGTCATCGGCTGCCCCTCCACACGCTCCACCTGGCCACCCTGCCTCGACCCTTCCTCTTTGGAGCCCTAACCGTTAGAGGCATATGCCCAGAACTGCCAATCAGAATCAATAAACGCAATCGATAAGAACCTTATCAGGTAAATGGAACATCTCTAGGTTTGATTTTAACTCCAACCGTCTCTTCAATGTTGCAGTTCAACTCTTGGGACCGGCCAAAGGTTTCCTGTGCTCATTTCACTACTGGTGGCCAGCACGCTCGCAGATTTCATCTGATTTGGGTCTACGTCACTCAAGGCACTTTAGGGAACGATGAGTTCTTCCCCTCCCCAGGGGTGGTCAGTTTTGGAGGCATATCCCCGGCTCTCTGGCTCTCCCGCAAGCAGGCCCCTGCCCCGCAGGATGGACGCCCTGTGCATGTGTGTCACGGCCACAGCTCACACTGGAAGTGTAAAGAACAGGAACGATGGTTATGACTGGCTGGCCCTTTCAGGAGCTGGAAGCACAGGGTGGGAAAGGAAGGACTTTACTGTGTTTTGGCCCCTGGGCCAAGGACGTGTGGCAAGAGGAGCAAAGCTGGTTCCACAGACAACAGAAGGACAATTTCCTCCTGAAAACATAAAAACCTACACCAATGAATTAAACATTTCAAACAAGATGACTCTCTTAAAAACTCTTTTCAACCAAGAAGGAAAGACAAGCCGTCCTGTGTTGGCGCTTCCTGTTGCATATGGCACTGAGAAATCCTGTTCTTTCGGCACGCAGAGCTTTCCAGAGAAAGAAAAATATCAAGGGGAAAATCAGAGAAGGAGGTCCAGAGAAGTCAGGCAGGAGGAACGGAGAGAAGGATGGGGAAGACGAGGCCTCTTCTCAGGGCACAGGGGCACAGGGGCACAGAGAACTGGAGGGGAGCAAACTAGAGGTGGCCCCGAGCCAATACAGTGGCCCTGACAGGTCCACGGAGGTGGCCATGAGAGGCCGGGTGCCGTGCTGGGACAAGGTGCACACCACAGAGACACCACCCTGCCTCCTGCGGCGTGGGGAGGGCAGCCCCAAATCCACTGGGATGAAGTGACCTGCTCTGTTTCCCACAGGTCTCCAAGGGTGATGGACGCAAGTTGCCTGAACCCCTTGGCCTCAGTGGGGGTCCTGCCCTAGGTGCCCACCAGAGGCTGCTTCACGGGCAGCACCTTCGGGCTCAGACCCACAGGAATCCCCAGGGTGTACCAACTGGACTCTCTCCCTGGACCGGAGCTGAACTTCCCCGGCTTCTGGGCAATACGCACACATGCCTTACCCACCGGCACAGCCTGGGGGTGGGCTGGTCCTGCCCCCCCCCCACGGGCTCTCCACCGCGCTCCTAGAGCCTCTCACCAGGCCGCCACCGCCCCGCCCCCGCCCCCATCACCAAAGAGCAAACCCTCTCCTCCCAGGGGCCTGGCACGACCAGGTTCCAGCATGGAAGAAGAGGAGCCAGGAGGCAGGAGAGCTGAAACCTGGGCTCGGAGAAGGCTGGAGGCTGGCGAGGGTCAGCGCCTGCCTCGCTCCGAGAGCCGTCCGCGGCCACCTGAGTCGGTCTCCGCGCCGCAGGTGCCAGGCCAGCCCTCTCCAACTCCCGGAGAGGTAGTAAGTGTAAGGCTTGGAGGCCCGCGCAGCCCAGCCCGCGCCGGGGCGGTGGGTGGGTGGGTGTCTGCTGTGGGATTATTCTTAGCGCTCCACTCTCTTTGCAAAAGTGGCGCCTCCGCCCTCCAGGCTCCGGCACGCTCGCTCCGGGCTCGCACGCCCGGCCCAGACACCGGCGCGGAGGAGGGCACCGGGTGGGGTCCGCGAGGGGTGAGACGGCGCGGAGGCGCAGGAGAGGCGGGGGCTCCCGGAGAGGAGGGGGCGCTGCGGGAGGGGCCCCGGCGACAGGCTGCGTTTAACCCTCGGCGCCCCGCACCCAGCCCTGCGCCGCGCGCTCAGCCGCCTCCCCGGACTCCTCCCGGGACGCGGGGAGCCGGGCGGCGGCGCGCCCAGCCCTTACCTATGGTGGTGATGACCGTGATGGCAAAGTAGAAGGAGCCGGCGAATTTCCACTGGACGCCAGCGCGGTGCGGCTCCGACTGCAGGATCACCAGCTCCAGCTGCCGGTAGTCCTCGCTGCTTATGTTGTACTTGCCCTTGATCCGGACCTCCTCCGCTTTGAGTTTTTCCTCCTCGCGCATCTCGTGGTCCGACTCGAGGGCGTCGAAGACGGCGGCGCCCACCAGCAGGTAGGTGAAGGTGCAGACGATGAGGGACAGAGTCCGCACGTTCTGCCTCTTCATGGCCGCCAGCAAGGAGCCGGCGCGGGGGGCATGTCCCGCAGGCTCGCAGCCGCGCGCGTCCCACTGCAGCGCCCGGCGGCCGCCGCCGCCTCCTCCGCCGCCGCCGCCGCCGCCTCCAAGTTGTAAGCGGCGGCGGCAGCAGCAGCAGCAGCAGCAGCAGCAGCAGCGGGGAGGCGGGGGGCGGGGAGGCTGGGGGGGCCCCCCTCCGCCGGGGCCGCCACAGCCGCCGCCACCGCGAGGCGGCTGGCGGGGCAGGGGCGGCGCGGGCCCGGGCTCGGGCGAGAAGGCGGACAGGCACAGGAGGCTGCTCGAGCGCCGGGGCCAGGCGTCCGGGAGCCCCGACACCCTGCGCCAGACCCGGCCGAAACAGCCCGCCCCACTGCGCAGGGCCATGCACGGCGGCCCCGCCGGGCACCGCGCGGGCCTCGCTGCCCTCCGCACCCCGCCCCCAGCTCCCGCCGGAAAAGCAGGGGCGGGAGCGGGAGCTGGAGCGCGGCCGCCGGGGCCCGCGCCCCTCCGGGTCGGCTCCGGGGAGGCGGCGCCCAGATGGGAGCCCACAGGTCCGCACGCGCCCCGCGGGACCTCCTGCCCCTTTTACTCCTCCGCGTTCCCCTTTGAGGGGGGTGAAAAAGTTTGCGAAGTGGCGGCGTCTCCGGAGTCCCCAGCGAGCGGGGAGGGGGCCGAGCAGGTGCAGCGGTTGGGGCGGCCGGGTGCCCGAAGGTCCGAGCGCGCTGCGTCCACCCGGGCGAGCCGGGACGCGGCGGGGTCCCAGCCAGGCGTCGGCCGGTCCACGAAGTTTGCTCGGCTCAGCCCCCGAGGCGCGGGAGCGGGGCGCGGCCCCCGGGTGGCAGGGCCCGCGGCGGAGCGGCCTCGGGGGCGGCCGGGAAACGGCGCGGCGGCGGTCGCCCAGCCCGCTCCTCCGGGGGCGGCGGGCGCGGCGGAGGCGGCGGCGGGAGGGGTCCCGCGGGCCTCGCGGAAATGCGGGGTGGGCGCGGGCGCATGAGCCGCGCGGGGGTCGGGGCCCTCCGGCGTCCGGGCGTCCGGGGAGGCGGCCGCAGCGCCGCTCTGCCTGGAGCGCTGCGTGCGTGCGCGCCGGAGGGAGCCCGAGTGTGTGTGCGTGTGTCTGTGCGTATGTGTGCGTGTGTGTGTGTATGTGTGCGTGTGTGTGTGTGTGTGTGTGCGCGCGCGGGAGCGCGCGCGCGGGCGTGTGTGTGTGTGTGTGTGTGTGTGCGCGCGCGGCAGCCCCGCTCCAGCGGGAGGGCCACGGGGGGCGGGGGCCGGGCTAAGCCGAGGCCCGGCCTCCCTCCCTCCCTCCCTTCTTCCCTCCCTTCTTCCCTCCCTTCTTCCCTCCCTCCCGCAGCCTCCCGGGCGCGCCACCTCCCGCCCGGTCACCAGCCAGCTGGCGAGGCTGCCGCGGCGGCTCCCGCTGCAGACCGAACGCGGCGCAGGGCGCACGCGAAGGGAGCTCGGGAGGGGCGGCCGGTGCAGCCGGGGAGGGGGTGGAGGCGGGCCGAGGACTGGGTGTCGCCCGAGAGGAGGTGGGGGGCGGAGCCACCAGCAGGTTTTGGCGGGGGATGGGAGGATAAATGAGGCTGCTTGGGCCGTTCTAGGCCAGCTCCCCTAGAGCACATGCAACCACGAGAGGCGGAGAGTTTGAGGGACCCGGGGTTAGGAGAAGAAACGGGATGCAGACCAGCCGGAGAAGGCAGACAGGCAGCTTAAGGGAGAGGGGAAATCCGGCGGAGGGTGGGAGCACGAGGGGAGGGTCGGTGGGCTCCCGGGAGCGCGGCGGCGCACGCGGCTCCCCCAGGGTCAGCCACCTGGCCCGGGCGCGGGTGCATGTCACTGGCCTGGGGCGTCTCCTCGTCGCGTGCTGGGGTCCCAAGGGCCGCGTCAGACCCGGAGAGCATCGCCGGCCGGTTGGCCCAGCACCGGCCGACCTGGAAGGGTGCTGACGACGGCAGGAACCGCCACTCTTGGGATCGGGGCCTCTGGGGAGGGCGCCGCATTCCCCTTTCCCTGTCTGCTTCCTGCTGCTTTTACGAGAAACACTCCTTGGTTCCCCGAGGTTGGGCGCGGGGTGCACCCAGAACTCAACCCTGACCCTCCCCCCTGCTCCCCGCACCGCGCGACGGCGCCTCTCGGGACCAGCCGGGGGAGGAAACCCGAGGCTCGGCCTGGGCGTAGCTATTCCCTGAGTCCAGACAGGGGTCCTCGTTCGGCTATACCCCCTTTCTATTTCAGCCTCCTTTGCCCTCTTCCCCCCATCTCCCTTCAGGTCGTCGAGGGGGTTTCCCTCAACCATCGGCCCCTTTAATTGCCTCTTGAGCAATGGAGCACGAAAGGGGCAAGCGCAAGTGGCGGAGACCCCCGGGCTCCACTTCCCTGGGTCAGGCGATCTCCCTTGGACCCAGCCAAGAAAGAGATGGAGACTTGGGGAAAGGGGCGCCCTCCCCCCGCTGGCGGCGGGCTGAAAAACGGGGCAGAGGCTAGCCATGGACTATGAGGCGGGTAGGCCAGGGAATTATACTCAACCCTCGCGCAGCTCGCTCCGGGAGCCCTGATCCCTCTGGGTCGCCCCCTCGGGCCGTGCTTGGGCTCCCCGCCCACAGGATTCTGTCTGGGTCGATCGAGTCTAGGGACCCACGGAGGCTCCCCGGCGGGGATGCTCTCCATCACATTTTGGGTACTCGCGGGTGCTTGCGCCCCGGGCGCACCAGGGAAAGGGGCCCCCGCTGTGGGCGACGTCTGGGCCGCCCGGTCTCCACTGGGTCTGAGCTCGCCCGCGGGGGCGGGGAGCCCCACCCCTAGCAGCCGCTCTCCCCAGAATTCATTTTGGAAACCGAGGCCCCCGCGCTCGGCGAATGAGCCTGGCCGCCCGGTGAGTCACCGCGAGCGGGCGACAAGGATTCCCAGCAGCTGGTAATTAATTGCGCCGTGGCTCGGCCCACGACGGAACCCCAGTCGGGCCTCCCGCCGCCCTGCAGCGGCGCCACCCCTGAGTCACAGCCGTCGGGCCTACGCCGTCCGGAAGCAGCCTGCCCGCCTGGACGCCACCAGGGGGCACTGGACTCCGACCCACAGGTCGCCCCGCTTTGAGTCAACGCCTCGTAGGAAAGTCCAGGCTGTCCCCGCTGGCAGGTGCGGGAGCGGGGCATGGGGTGCTCTCCACCCACAGATTCCAAGCTTTGTAGGGAGCCACTTTTATTCAGTTTACATACAACCTTTCAGGAAAACGGAGCAGCTTTGCGGATTGGAAGGGACCTCAGAGATAAACTAGTCCAAACCGCTTGTTTTACAGATGGGAACACTTCCAACGGGAGAGGATCACGTGCCCAGGGACACAGGCAATTCGGATCCAGAACCAGCACTGAACCTCCTCCTGGCTTCTGTCCTGCGTTCCTTCAAGGACCCAGCTGCCTTCTGACCCCAAGTTCACAGTGCCACGAAGAGCCACAGACCACTCCCAAACGCCGTTTCTTCCTTTACTTCCCTCCCGCCCCCCCCCCCCCCCCACACATATGGCCTTTGGACTCAAGAGAAACAAGCCTGGGAGCCGGGCCTCTGGAGGGTTCTTGGTCGGGGAGGGGGGGTAAAAGGAGGGTTTCCTGGTCTGTCCATCCAGCACCCACACTCCTCTCCTCACCCTACACTCTCCTTCCATGGTCTTGACCTGCAGGTGGAAGTGAACTCCTTGAAGCAGAGCCTGGGTCTTGACATCTTCCCTGTGTCCCCAGCACTCATCCCCAAGGCAGGTGCTCAGCTAGCACTGTGGGTTGCTGCCGCATGACAGTCCAGAAAGCGGTTAGGCTGGTGGCAGTGCGTCTGGGGAGACCACCTTCCCTCTCTGCCCCTGTGGTCTGGGAGCACCAACTCCAGCTCAGCCTAGAGGTGGATTCAGAGCTCAGGTGTGGCCAATCAGAGCCAGGTTTCCCCCAGCCACGGTGATTGGCTGGGCGTGGCTCACCTCTCAACCAATGAGAACCCTGGGAAAGAATTTCTTTGAGGAGGCGTGGGAGGGAGGCAGGTACTGAGACTGCAGGTTCTTTACACACAGTGGGCGTGTCCGTAGCCCCTGGGGCTAAGAATCACTACCCTGTGTTACCCAGAGAGGCCGACCAGCTTATTCGGGCCCCTCAGTGAGTCAGTGGATCTCACTCCCAGTCTAGTGCTGCTTCTACATCAGCGCTATGTGTCTGTGAAAGACTCAGCTGCGGGCGGGAAGCAGGGAGGTACCGTGCTCTAGGCCAGCCACCCAGTGCAGCACGTCACACCTCCGTGCCTTTGCTCACGCCATTCCCTCCGCCTGTATACCTTTCCCTGTCCTCTTCAGGCTCCCGTCTCCTCATCTTTCAAGATTCAGCTCTGGCAGCATCTCCTCCAGAAGCTTCCCCTGTGCCCAGCCTGGATGAGGTGCCTGTGTCTCTGCACATACTTCTATCCTGTGACCCCTTTGGTGCCAGTCACACCTCCCCTGCCAGACTGTGAGCTCCTTGAGGGCAGGGGCCATGCCGGCCTCAACTTGTCATGCAGGCCTTCCACACAGTAGGTGCACAATAAATGTTTGTTAAAAACCAAAGAGCAGAGTTGAGCTCACGTGCCAGTGCATCTGAAGTCATCACCCCAAGTGAGATCTCTCAAAGGAAGGCAGGAAGAGGTAGATGTAGAAGAGTGAAAGAAAAAAAAAATAGCTGTGCAGATGGCAAAGGTGGTTGCCTGCCAGGACCCCGAGAGTCTCTGAGGTTTAGGCCTTGACTCTGATGTCCCTGGGGGTCGAGTGCAATGAAGGAGGAGAAAGAACACGAAACGCAGAGGTGGAAGAGAGGGCAGAAAGCAACAAGAGCTCAGACAGTGGAAGGAGTGAGGAGTGAGCCCGGAGAGGGGAGTGGGTCCAAGGGTGAGCTCACCAATATTGGCACACAGGCTGCCTTCCCTTGGCCTGGGCCCACAGCAGACATTGCTAATCAATCCCAGCCCTGTCTTTGGTCGAGATCTGTTACAGCCTGAGGATCTTGAACACAGGGGTCCACACAGGGCTCATCCTGGGCTCGGTGCTCACCTGTTTCCTTTCAAGGCCATCACCAACCTGGCCCCAGCTGAGATGGCATTGTGAGAGGATGTAGGGAGCCGGGAGCAAGTGGCACCGTGATGGTGTATGGCGCCCTGGTGGGCTGGTCCTGAGTGAGCCTTTCTTGAGCACCTGCTGGGTGTTCAGCCTGAGCTGGGAACTGAGCATTCATGATGACTCTGTGAGGCCATCATCATCCCCTTGGCCGGTGACGAAGCCAAGGCTCTAAGCTTAGGACAGTGACCGTGACTGCAGATCCTTTGTGGGGTGGGGTGGGAGCTGGGGGGCTGCGTCCTTCTCTCCAGGCACAGGCTACCAGGCTGGACCAGTGTGATGGCGAAAAGGCTGCGAAGGAAGAGGGAGAGTCAGCCCAGTCCCTGGTACACAGGAGGTGCTAAAAGTTGTTTCATTGGCTCCATGATTAAATCCCAAATATGCTAAGGCTGGTCCCAGGGCTGATGTGGTGAGAGTCGGGGGAGGGGAGCAGGAAAATGGCCCAGGGCTCCCAAGACACGAGAGGCAGAGCCAACGCCAGAAAAGGGAAACTGAGGCCGGCCAGGCTCAGTCTGCCCAGAGGATTCCAGGATGTCATGTCAGGGGCAGGGGAAGTAGTTCATAGGGTGGACAGTCAGAGCCTGTGACCTGGGGCTGCTGGACCTGCACCTGCCCCAAAAGTCCATCAACAGGTGATGTGAGGACACAGAGCCCCAGATGGGTGGGCTCCTCCCTGAGATGTGAAGCCCAAGGGGGGTCTTACTTGGAATTTCTGAGCCCCAGAGTTCTCCTTGTGCGGTGATGTCTCCAATTGTGACCACGTGGGCAAAGACGCCTGGGAGATTCACACTCTAAACTGTTTCAGGAACGATCGGTGCGCAGGTTCGAGGCTCAGGGAGGATCTGATCTGCCCCCGGAGTTAGAGGACTCTTAAGAGTAGGAAGTTCATCTAGCAGGTGAGGAGCCAGCCAGCCCCCTCTGGGACTCAGGGTGACATGCGAATGAGGGCAGAGGCAAGGCCAGGGGCCCCTCCTTCGAGCCAAGGGCGGCCCCTAACCGCACCCCACCCCCAACACACACACAAGCCCTTGCTTTACTGCAGGAAATATGATCAGTGGATTTCAGGCTTCTTAAGGCGCAGCCTGAACCACTGCCCAGCTCCACACCTGCTCCATAAATAGCTCCATCGTGTTCCCCACGGAGCCCCAGTGCTGCCAGGATCAATCAGGCCATCGGCAGAGGCTTCACCAGCTGACAGCTCCTGAGGGGGGTTGCTGGAGGGGCACGAACCCTGTGCCCAGCAGGAGGGTCTCATTAACCGAGGCCGGAGCGTCAGGGCCAACCCCTGAGGGAGGCTGTTCGAAAACCAGGCCCAGGAGATGGGAGGGCAGCATGTCCACGCCCACAGCGGGACTCCTGGGCAGTGGGGAGGGCATCCTGCCCCCAGCCTCCGCTTCTGGGTACGCGGGGCTTGGCAGAGCAGAGGCTCCTGGGCGTTTGCTGACTAGATTAATGAAATGGATTCAAGAACGACGTACCGGTGGCCAGGAAATGGCACTGGTGACCTTTCTCTCAGTCACCTCCTCACCACCCAGTGCGTAAAATAATTAGACACCCATAGAGAGGGGACATTTGTTGAACCCAGCTCTTCTCCTTCGTAATACTAATGCTGACGTAAATAAGAATAATTAAAAATAAAAAATCTTCCGCTCTTAAAAACAAACAATAGCTTACGGAGAACGCTCTAAATGTGGGACGTGGGGAAGCTTGCGCTCGGGTGTGAGACGGGATGCCCCGCGGTTGTTGATGTGGCTGTGGACAGGAACACCTGGAAGTTGTCCAGCACGGGCACGGGGCAGAGCCGGGGCGTGGAGGCTGCTCTGCGGACCCCACCCCCCCGTCCGAAGCAGCGTGTCCCTAAAGCGCACACGGGGTGTGAACAGGCTCTCCATCACCATCAGATCAGTTCTCCCAGACGGACCCCGACTGGCACTCGGGCTGTGGGATAAGTACCGGCTTCTGAGTCAGGCGGCCGGGATCCAAATCCCAAGCTTGTCGTTTCCACCCGGCGTGACCGTGGGCGAGTGGGCGACCCTCTCCGTGCCTCTGCCCCCCACCCCACCGGTTGGTTGGCGAGGGCAGAAGAGGGCTCTCCATCCATCTGGATGAAGCGCGGGGAGGCGTGTGCGGCTCGCCGGCGGAGGCCTGGCCCGCAGGCGGGGCCCCGCGGTGCGGGAGCTCATCCCGCCCGCCCCGCGGAGGACACGCTGCCCTCCTCCCTCCACCTCCCTGGCCGGGGAGCCAGCTTCCTCCGGTGGAAGCTAACTTCAGTCCAGTCACATGGCGCCATCGTTGTCCCCGTGCCGAGAGTTTACAGATCCCCGCGGAAGGTGTTTAAATATTTTCCCTTTTCAGAAGCCTGGTTCTCGCCTCTGCCACGTTCACCTTTGTGTGGCAGAAGGTATTTCTGCAAACGCAGCCGCGGCGGCAGCGATTCCGCAGCGAGACAGGCATCCCTGTACACACTGCTGCTATTCTGGGGACTCGCAGGTGTATCGTTTGTATAATCACGGGCCTGTCACCTCCCGGGGGAGGGAAGAGAGGGTGGGGTGCTTCCAGAGGCTCCTGTTCCATGGGAGCCTTCCCCTGGAAACCCTCCTGGCCCAGGTGGGGTCTGGGCCTGGCCCACGTGCCCCGGTGCGAACAGCCCCTGCTCCGGTCCAGGCCTCGAGATTCCTAGGACAGGGCCTGTCCGACCTGTCTGTGTCCCCAGCACAGAGTAGGGATCAGGAAACATCCACTGAGCTGATGGGAGCTCTGCAAGGGCCTGGGGCTTCAGAGAGGCTTTCCCTGCCCCTGAAACATCACCTGCCAGGCTCGGGGCCGCCGTGCCAGGCGGGGGCTGGGAGTTTGTGACACAAGATAGATGGGAGATGGCCATGGCAGGTCTGGAGCTGGAGACCCGTGGGTCACGGGGGCTGCGGGAGCCCAGACCAGCGTAGACTGTGGGACCCCAAAGGGCTTCCTGGCCAGTCCCCAGGCCGTGGGATGGGCTGATCCCAGCTCTCTGGTTGCTATGGGCGTGGAGAAGGCACAGCTACACTCTGAGGATGCACGCATTGTAGGGCCCCATCCAGGGTTTAAGTCTCTTCCCGCAGGGCCGGAAGGTACACTGGCAATTAGGTCTCCTTCCTCGTTCGATGAATAAGGAGACGGCGGCCCGGAGAAGTCCAGGGACTTATGGGAGGTCACAGAGTCATCATCGTCTGCAGAGCTGGGACACCATCCACCTCCCAGGCCCCCGAGCCCAGGTCCAGGGCCCCCCAGAGGGTCTCCAGGGAGTCCACATAGCTTGGCAATCCAGCCCTTGCCTCGAGGAGTATTGGGGAGCCAGCAGCAAGGTCTCTGCTGTCACGGAGCAATCGTCCTGCTGGGAAAGTGAACAGTAAACCAGTTAACCATCAGGGAAAAGCCAGAGACAGGTGATTGCAGGAAGATGAGAAACACGGGACGGTGAAAAGTGTACTGGGCAGAGAGAGATTTGAGGTGCATTGGTCAGGGATGGCCAGCCCGTGGGGATGACACTGGAACTGAGACTTGAACGACACGTTTGGGCCCAGGAAAGGGTGTCTAAGCAGAGGGAACAGCCTGTGCAAGTGCCCTGGGGTCAGGGGAGGGGCGCTGGCTTATTCAGGGAAGAGCCAGGAGGCAAATGTGGCTGGGATGCTGGCCCAGAGGAAGTTGGCACAAGATGAGGTCAGAGGTCAGGGCTCCGAGCCCCTCCAGGGAGGACGGGAGGCAGGGCCAGATCACGGAGGTTCTCGCAGCCCACGGGAGGAAGATGGATTTCACTTGCGCATTCATGGAAGTCCATGCGTGCATTGTGTGGGGAGGGAGAGAAGGCACATCCGCTTCATTGGACAGTGTGGGGCACCCACATCCTGCAGAATCAGCACCACAGGGCACCTGGGGAGCTCTCCAACCTGGAAGAAGAAGGGTCCCCAAGAAATGGGTGGTCAATTAAAACAATGACGACTCCAACTCTGATGACTGTGAAGGGGCTGGGCCTGCAGTGCACACAGCCCATGGCCCCAGCCTCCCAGAGGCCACTGCTGAGCGTCTCTTGTCGGGGTCGGGGTCCACTCACAGGGGACCAGGCGCCCCGGGGGTGAGTTGGGTGAAATCACTGCAGCTTCCGATGCTGTCTGGTCTCCAACGACCTAGGACAGGCCTGGTGGACAAGGTGTGATTTCCGTAGCAACAGGAAGAGTCCCCAGTTCCCCAAATCCCTCCCACACCTCCACTCAGATGCCTAAAATCTCTTTAATGGTGGCAGGTTGAATTACTGACTCTTTATAATCATTGTACCCTTTTAATTTATTTATTCTTGATCACAAACAATACTTTCTGTGTAAAATATAAAAAGTAGAGAGAAATATAAAGAAACAAAATCCTAAGGATTTTCCCCAGGGAAGTTAGCACCATTTCAGCAATGGGGCCGGCCCTGGGCAACACTGACTTTTACACCCTAAAGTCCACGGATGCTGATGTAAGACCTTCCTTAAGGGTCAAGTGCAAGGGAGCAGGTGAGAACGCAAAGGGGATGGATGTTCAAGAAGGTTCGAGGATATGGTTAGAGAAGAGGACGCCCAGGAGAGAAGGCTGAGCTGAGAAGGACCACATCACAGGTTGCACTCCTGTTTTTCTCACACTCCATTGCCGCTGTGCAGCTTGGATGGAGCCAGGCAGAGATTCCATCCCTTGAGTATGTGACAACCGTGCAGTCCTAACACAGCGCAAGTGAACAGCCCCGGATCAAGGCCGGCTGGAGCATGGGTGCATCAGGACCACGATGCTGGGGGTGGAGGAGGGCTGGAGGGGACACCTTGTGTGAGGAGGTGGCCCATAATGGTCAAGGACTCAGTCTGCGTGTGCACTAGGGCCGATCTGGCTCAGATCTGGGCACCGACTTCCTGGGTGAACCCCTGGACCTCAAGCCTCAGGCCCGTCCCTTGCAGAATGGGTGGAATGAGGGCTCCTGGCTGATTGGATGGTGGTGAGGGTGAAAGGCCAGGTACCACACTGGCACAGTCTCCGAGCTTGGGGTGGAGGTAGTGCAAACAGGTGGGCTTTGGAATCAGATGGTCCTGAGTTTGAATCCTGGCTCCACCATATACTGGCTGATTGACCTTGGGCCTGTCACTTCACCCAAGTCTCAATTTCCTCATCTGTGAAATGGGGACGCGGTGTGTTTTGTACTTAGCAGAGTGCCTGGCACAGGTAAGCACTGAAGGAAGGTGAGCTGGTTGTGTTTGTCTCTGTCCCTAGCTTTGAACCTCACTCTCTCATGAGCTCCTGTTGCTTCTCCAAATGCAGGGGCACCGGAGACTCCTGCACAACAGTCCTGAGATTTTGAACCCAGCAGAGCAGGGGCAGGAGCGGGAGAGTTGGAACATCGGAAAGAGGAAGGGAAAGTGGAGGACCAGAGAGAAGGATGGAGAGACTGGGGGATCAGAGAGAAGAAGGAGAGATGCAGGAACCAAAGAGGAGGGAGAATGTGGGGCGCAGACGAGGTAGAAGGGGGCAGCGATGACGGGCGGGGGTGAGACAATCAGGGTAAGTTTCCCTGACTCTGGTGCTGGTGGACACCTCCTTGGTGCTTCCACCCAAAGTCTCTCTCTCCCAGACTATGTCTTAGAATCTGAGACCAGAGTAGAGATACAGGTCTTCATTCCTTCTTGAATGTCTGTTAAGCATGTACTCGGCCAGTTCCTGGTCCAGGCCCTGGAGGCTGCAAAGGTGAGGTCAGGATGCTTACACACCACAGGCCGATGTACTGTGTACATGTTGGCTCCCACGATCCTTCATCAGCCGTACTGTCCACAATTCAGTCCCCAATGCACCCCACACCCCTTTCTCTCCTGTGCAGCCCGTGCTTGGCCATACTGACCTGTGTTCTGGCCTGCACCTCAGCTACCATGGAAAGGAAGCATCAGGCCAGACTCCGGGGCCAGGCCTCACTTCACCTCCTGTCTATTTGCCTTTTCTGAGCAGTAGCCTTTTGGCAGCTAAATTTAACTGAGCATCTGGTTTCCACCCTACCATCCTTCCTTCCCTCCCTCTTTCACTTGGGTCAGATCACGGTGTGATGGCTCTCCCAGCTCCCTCCCGTTTCCTCTCTTAAGTGTCCTCCCTAGTAAGTTTCTTGTGTGTTTAGTTGCATCTCAACATCTACTTCTTGGAGGACCCAGATCAACACAGGGGCACTCAGCTATCAGATCTGAGCCTCCAGAGAGCTGACAAAGAAAAACCACGGCATCTAGGGGGGCCCAGAGCCAGACACGACGGGGAGAGTGGTACCTGGAGAGTGAGGACACCCCGCATCCTCTCGGTTTCTGAATCAGTCAGGATGGGATGGATTATACAGCATGTCATGGACTGAATGTCTGTGTCCCCCACGTTCATAGGTTGAAACCCTCAGTGTGATGGCATTCGGTGGTGGGGCCTTCGGGGGGCGATCACGTTTAGATGAGGTCATGGGAGTGTGGACCCGTAATGGGATTAGGGTTCTTATAGTAAGAGGAAGAGATCAGAGCCCTCTCTCTCTCACTATCTCTCGGCCACGTGAGGACACAGTGAGAAAGGGCATCGGCAAACCAGGAAGAGGGCTCTTGCCAGGTGCCGGATCTGCCAGCGCCCAGTCTTGGACACTCCAGCCTCCAGAACCATGAGAAATAAATGTCTGTTGTTGGTCACCCCCCATCCCCACCACTGTCGGCAGCATTTTGTCGCAGCAGCCTGCACTGACTGAGACATAGCAGAACCAGAACATTTTTTAAATAAAAAACTCAGTGGCTCAAATTACAAAGGCTTATTTCCTGCCCATGTTGAGTTGATAGTAGCTCTGTTCACTGGCCCCCTGAGACCTAGGCCCCCCTGAGACCTAGGCTGACAGACGCTCCCTTGCCCTAGGCTTCCACCATCCCAGACAGGGAGATGGAACCTGACAGATTTCACCGTGGTCCCAAAAGCTGCTGCCCAGAAACATCCTCCATCACTTCTGAATGCACTGTGTTGGCTAAAGCAGGCCACACGGCCAAGCCTGGGGTCTTCTGTCCACCCTCATACCTGGCAAAGACCTTCACCCAAGAATCCTGTCCCTAGGCAAGTTCCCACTCACCCGTCAAGGCAAAAGGAAGATTCTGAGAGTACGCTTCCCAAATTCTCTTCTATCCCCTGCATCCTTCATTTGAAGAAAAAACTCAAGAGAAGACCCAAACCTGAAAATAAAGAAGACAGAACAGAGCCCATGAAATGAAGAACGATGAAAAGGGAAAGACGTAATGGTGAGCAGTGGAACTTGCTATGTGGTAAATTGAATAAAAATGAATAAGGATAGACCTGTCCCAGACTGTATCATCTAAGTGCTAAGTAAGGGTTCCTAAAATTGAAGGTCCGTACTGAAAGGAAAAATTGTAATGATAGTCTATTTATAAAAGTCATAGCTCAGCAACAGCTACAAGTTATGGCCAGGAAGGACATCTATAAACTTTGCAAGGATCTCATCTTGGAGGGGGAGGGGAAAGGAAGAAAATAAAAGATGTCTAGAAGTGTCATCTTATTGGACTGGGGAGGAATAATCAGGGGAAAAATAGAATAACTTATTGTGTGGAATAGGTGGTATCTTATTTTCAAAGTAGAGAGATCTGGGAAACAGGGAAGAGAGAATGGCTATCAGTGCAGTGGAAGGGGTCTTAGGGTCTGTCTGCTTGGGCGATCATAACAAAATACCACAGTCTGGGGGGCTTACACAACTCACATTTGTTTCTCACAGTTCTGGAGGCTGGAAGTCCAACACAACATTGTAAAGCAATTATACTCCAGTAAAGATGTTCAAAAAAAGACATTAAAAATAATAATAAAATAAAATAAGTTGCTGGGAAAATAGCTACAAGGATAAAGCAAATGAAAATAAAGTAGGACGGGTAGATAGTAATCTCAAAAAGGTTTAAGATATTTATATGTGATAAATTAGAATGTTATACAACGAAGTGCTATACAGTCATAAGCCTGTATTTAAAAAGAAAAAAAGAGTTAAATATGTAAGCAAAACCTATTAGGAAAGGAAAGAGAACCGGGTAAAAGTATAATTATAGTGAGAGACCATTGCACAGTCTCCGTAAGAAATGGACAAGAGTATTAGAAATTAAGAAACTGTTAGAAGTTAAGAGGCAATCAAATTTATTGCATGGCCATTGATTGGATCCTAGTTTGAGCAAATCAGATTTTTAAAAGCTGTTTTAGGGACAATTAGGGAAATTTGAATATGAATGGAGTTTTAGAAGATTATAGAACATCACTGTTATTTTCTCAGGTGCAGTAATGGTATCATGGTTAAGTAGGGAAGCATCCTTCTCTAGTAAAGAGATAAACTGAAGTATCTAGGAGTGAAATGCCATGAAGCCTATAATTTAATTCTAAATACCTCAGTAAAAGACAAACATAGCAAAATGTACACAGCTACTGAATCTTGATGATGGATGTATAGTATACGTTATCTCTCTGCTTCTATGTATATTTGAAATTCAAAAACAACAAAGTAATAACACCAGAACTGAATAATGCAACCAATAACTGTGAACATATATATAATATAGTTATATATATATATATATATTTTTTTTTTTTTTTTAAATAGTGAATCCCTTTTTATGTGCCCAAATGTAACTGAGGAAAATCAGTATATAATAGGCTGACAATAAAACATTACCAAATTCAAGAACCCAAGAATGAAGTTTTCACAGGCCTCATGCTCCAGCCATATTCAACACAAGTAGTAATTAATAATAAAATGGGAGCCAAACACTTGACTTGCAAGTTTAAAACATTCATGCATAACTCTTGGATCAAAGAGAAAAATCAAGGGAGAAGTTATATATCATCTGGAAAACAAAGAAAAAGAAAATGCTTCATGTTAAAACATATGGAGTAAAGATAACAGCTTAGAAACACACCGCCTAAATGCCTTCATTCGAAGGGGCAAAGGCTAAACATAACATCATTTTTAGTACTTGTCTCAAGCAATTAGGAAAAGAAACAACAAAAGAAACAAGAAATGGGGAATTCATAAAGAACTGAAACTGATGAAATAGAAAAAAACATTTAAATAGTGGGAAGAATATGTAAATGCAAAAGCTTATTCTTTGAAATGGCTAATAAAATAGAAAAAACCCTCGTGAGTCCAATTATGGAGAATGAAGAGAGAGAGTAAAATTAGACAAGATTAGCAGTAAGAAGGCAGACATACCAATATAACTAGAGATACAGGAGAGATAAAACTAATTATGAGAGAATATTACACGCAACTCTGTGATAACAAATTGAAAACCTCAGGGAAATGGATGATTTCCTAGTAAATTACCAAAATCAGCCCAAGAAAAAATGGAAAATTTTAATAGACCAATTACCATAGAAGAGACTAGAAGGTGACTGGAGATCTATCAGTGAAAAGACAGCAGAATCAGACAGGTTCACAGCTGAGTTTTATCTAATTTCTAAAGAATGAATCATTTTAATGCTGTTTAAACTATTTGAGGCCATAGAAAAGGATAGGAGAGAAATGCCCTTATTCATTCTATGCATCTAGAATATCTTTAATACAAAATAAGGGGAACTATAGACTGATGGCACACGTATAGGTGAAAATTTCTAAATAAAATACTAATAAATAGAATCTAGCGACTAATCAAGAGAACAACATATTACCCTTCAGGTTCAATGTGGGAAAGCAGTGTGTGGTTGAAGACCCCTTAGCCTTGGAGACATTTTGTAGGCATATTTTCACCCCTCTTCTCTGAGCGTCTCTTGGCATGACAAAAAGTAAGGACATATTAGGCAACGATCAGGGGCCTCTAATGAACCAGACTGGACAAAGCTAAGACATCGACATCTAAGGGAGCCTTAATGTCTGTTAGCAATGCCAAGATTTTATACGGAAATTTTGTGGGGTTTATTTCCAGAACAGCCTCTAGTTGTTTCAGCATCTTTGAAATGTTCCAAAGGACCAATTTTTTTTTTTTTTTCTATATGAAATCCACTGAGGGAGAGGGAATTTTCTAGGTTTTAAATGCACACCAGAGCACAAGATCTAATATTACTGAATTCTCGCAGCAACTCTGTGGGGAGTTGATATGACTGACACTGAGGCTTGGAGAGGTGAAGAGACTTCCGAGGGCACTCAGATGATGCAGGCAGAGTCAGATCTCAACCCTGCTGAGACTGACTGCGAAGCCCAAGCCTTCAATGGCATGTGTGAAAGCCACATGTGGAAGGCCCCTGGCGACTTCTTGGTTCAGGGAGGAGTTTCAGTCCATTTAGCCAAAGCCAGGAGCAATGGAATGAAGACTAGATTAGGTATCAGGAGACCTGGGTTCTGTTTCATCCTCTGCCTCCTGGGCCATGACTTTGAAGGCCTCTGCCCTTCTGCAACATTCTGAATCCCTACATAGCTGGTCTCAGAAGGGCCAGCCGTGGGTTGCTGTCCGTGGTGCTGAAGGTGCTCTTGTCCGAGGGCTCCCTCTTCACCTATTTTCAGAGGAGCTGGTCTGGGCGGCTGCCAGGAACACACTGTGATTAATCGGCGGGTTTGAAATGGCAACTAAAGGTGGAAGGAAAGAATTTCTTTATTGGTTCGCTGAACCTGTGCCAAAGGAGCTTTTTCTTTTTTTTTTCTTTTTTTACCGAAAGCCATGTCTTTGACAATTCTCATCACCTGGGCCTGAACTGAACATCTCAATTTTTGGACAGAGGCATAGAACTAAGTTTTCACTGCCCAGGTGAATAAATGAGACATTACCTGATTCCCAGAGCCCCGTTTCCCCTCTCAGGTCCCATGAGAGTTCTGAGGGAATCCAGAGGGAATCTATGCTAAATTTTGTGTCAGTTACTCACTTGTTTGTCTCTATTGTCTTTTTTTTTTTTTTTTTTTTTTTTTGTAACAACTTGGTATGTATCCTTAACAAATACACTGATTTGCTTTTTGGACTTCAAGTAATTAGAATCATATTGCATGTGCTTTTCTGTTGCCTTTCTTCCATCAACGTTATGTTTTGGAAGTGGATCCACATTGTTGCATATTCATCATTGTATACTATTCTGCTATATGAATATGCTGAAACGGATCTGTACATTCCATTCTTACTATGGAATGTGAACTTATGTCCTTTTTTTCCCTGCTATGAACAATTCTGCTGTAAACATTCTGGCACACAGCTCATTTTACACAAGCCACTGTACATTCATCACGTTATGTACATGACAGCAGAATCGTTGGGTCTTCGGGTAGGACCAGTTCAGCCTCACTAGGTGTGGTAGAAACTTCTGGTGCTCATTCTTCCCTCCTCCCTAAAAGAGACATGCCTCGTTTGCAGTCAGGCGAGGCCATTTCCAGGGTGAATAATCTCATTACGGTGTAAGACCCTCTTCATATTTCTCCCAGTTTGTGACTTGTCTTTCCACTTTCTTTATGGCCTTTTGATGAATGGAAGTTCTTAGTTTTAATATAGTGAAATTGATCATTTTTATGGCTTGTGCTTTTTGTGTCTTATTGAGGATATCTATCCCTACCCCAAGATCGTAAGATATCTTTAATGTCTTCTAAATATTTTATACTTTGCCTTTCACATTTAGGTCTTAACCTAGAATAATTTTTACATATGGTGTGTAGCAGGGCCCAGTATCTCTCTTTCCCTATGGCTACTCATTTACTTTCTGAGCACTGTTTAAGGAAAAGTCCATCCCCTTCCCACTGGCATGTGACAGCAATATTTCATACATCGTATGTCCCTATATGCACAGGTCTGTTTCTGGGCTTTCCATTGACCCATTTTTCTATTCCACAGTGTGTACTTGTTTAGCTTTATAATACATTTTGGCTTATTCTTCAAGAGTATGTTGGCTATTATTGGGCCTTTGCATTTATATATGAATTTTAGAATCACCTTGCCAAGCTTCACCGCCCCACAAAAAAATTAAGATTTTTACTGGTGTTGCATTGAACCTATAGATCAATTTAGCGAGAAGTTACATCTTTATGAAAGAGAGTCTTCCAACCATTTACTTAGATCTCCTTTAATGTCTTCCAATAAATTTTTATAATTTCCTCCATAACGGTCTTACACATTAAAGATTTATTCCTGGATTCTGTGTTTGTTTCCTTTTTTAAAAAATTTTATTTATTCATTTTTGGCTGCATTGGGTCTTCATTGCTGCACAAGGGCTTTTCTCTAGTTGCGGCGAGCGGGGACTACCCCTCGTTGCAGTGCGTGGGCTTCTCATTGCGGTGGCTTCTCTTGTTGCAGAGCACAGGCTCTAGGCACACGGGCTTCAGTAGTTGTGGCACACGGGCTCAGTAGTTGTGGCTCACGGGCTCTAGAGCGCAGGCTCAGCAGGTGTGGCTCACAGGCTTAGTTGCTCCGTGGCATGTGGGATCTTCCCCAGCCAGGGCTCGAACCCATGCCCCCTGCATTGGCAGGCAGATTCTTAACCACTGTGCCACCAGGGAAGCCCCTGTTTCCTATTGTTTCTGTAACAAGTCACTACAAACTTGGTGGCTTAAACAACATAAACTGATTACCTTATAGTTCTTGAAGTCAGAGTCCAAAATGAGTCTTGCTGAGTAAAAGTCAAGATGTGGGCAGGGCTTTGTTCTTGCGGAGGCTCTGGGGGGAGAATCTGTTTCCTTGTCTTTCCAGCTCCTAGAGGTTGAGGCACCTCTTGACTCATGGCCCCTTCCTCCATCTTCAAAGCCAGCAACATCGGGCTAAATTCTTCTCATGCTGCCATCTCTCGGGTTCTCTTTTGTTTCTCTCTTTCCCTTTTAAGAAACCTTGTGAATATATTGGACCCACATGGATAATCCAGGATAATCTCCCTATTTTAAAGTCAGGTGATTAGCAACTTCAATTTTATCTGTACCCATAATTACTCTTTGCCATGAACCCATCATTTTCACAAGTTCTGGGAATTAGGATGTGGACATCCTTGGAATGTCATTATTCTGCCTACCACAGATTCTTTATATTTGTCGTAGTTCTATAAATGGTAATGTTTATGATTTTACTTTCTAGCTGGTTTTTGTTGTGGTACCAAAATGCTGTGGATTTTCTATATTTATTTTGTATCCAACAACACTGCTTAAGCACTTACTAATTCTGATAAACCTGAAGATTCTTTAGGATTTTTTAGTGTAATTGATGATATAATGTGCAAATAATGACAGTTTTGTTTCTTCCTTTCCAGCCCTTATGCGTTTTATTCGCTCTTGTATCTAAGTTTCTGTGCTGGCATGGACCAGTTAGACAATGTTGAATAAAAGTGGAGACAATGAGCATCCTTGTTTTATTCCTGATCTTAAAGAGAGTGCTTACATTTCAACATTCAGAATAATGTTTTCTGTACCACAATGTTCATTGCAGCTCTATTTACGATAGCCAGGACATGGAAGCAATCTAAGTGCCCATCGACAGATGAATGGATAAAGATGTGGCACATATATACAATGGAATATTACTCAGCCATAAAAAGGAACGAAATTGAGTTATTTGTAGTGATGTGGATGGACCTAGAGTCTGTCATACAGAGTGAAGTAAGTCAGAAAGAGAAAAACAAATACTGTATGCTAACACATATATATGGAATTAAAAATAAAAAGGGTCATGAAGAACCTAGGGGCAAGATAGGAGTAAAGATACAGACCTACTAGAGAATGGACTTGAGTACACGGGAGGGGGAAGGGTAAGCTGGGACAAAGTGAGAGAGTGGCATGGACATATATACACTACCAAATGTAAAATACATAGCTAGTGGGAAGCAGCCGCATAGCACAGGGAGATCAGCTCGGTGCTTTGTGACCACCTAGAGGGGTGGGATAGGAGAGTGGGAGGCAGGAAGACGCAAGAGGGAAGAGATATGGGAATATATGTATATTCCCATCAGTGTATAGCTGATTCACTTTGTTATAAAACAGAAACTAACACACCATTGTAAAGCAATTATACTCCAATAAAGATGTTAAAAAAAATAAAACAAGTACCCTAAAAAAAAGAATAATGTTTTCTGTATGCTTTTAATAGATATCCTTTTATTAGGTTAATGAAACTCTTCTAGACCTAGATTATAAGAGGTTTTTGCGGGGTTTTGGAGTTTTTTTGAAAGTCATAAGAGGATGTTGACTCTTATCAAAGACTTTTCCCACATCTGTAAGAATGATATGATTTTTCTTCTTTAATTTGTTAGAGGGGTGGATTCATTACTACCTTTTCCAATTTAAAACCAACCTTGTATTCTCTGAATAAATACAGCTTGATCATAGTATTCTTTTTTTTTTTTGCTGTGAAAAATAATTTTTATTTTATTTTTTAACATCTTTATTGGAGTATAATTGCTTTACAATGTCGTGTTAGTTTCTGCTCTTTAACAAAATGAATCGGTTATATGTATACATATATCCCCATATCCCCTCCCTCTTGCGTCTCCCTCTCACCTTCTTTATCCCACCCCTCTAGGTGGTCGCAAAGCACCGAGCTGATCTCCCTGATGAATGGATAGAGAAGATGTGGCACATATATACAATGGAATATTACTCAGCCTCATTGTGGTTTTGATTTGCATTTTTCTCTAACGATTAGTGATGCTGATCATCCTTTCAAAACGAAGCAACTGACAAAGGATTAATCTCCAAAATATACAAGCAGCTCATGCAGCTCAATATCAAAAAAACAAACAACCCCATCCAAAAATGGGCAGAAGACCTAAATAGACATTTCTCCAAAGAAGATACACAGACTGCCAACAAACACTTGATGATGGTATTCTTTTCCACGTATCACTGAATCTGTTTGCTAACATTTAGATTCAAATTTTTTGCATCTACGTTGATGCAAAATTTTAGGATTTAGCCTAAAGTTTTCTTTTCTTATGCTGTGTTTGTTAGATTTTGATATCAAGGTTATACCAGCCTCATAAAATATACCTGAGTGTTTCACCTCTTTTCCCATGTTCAGAAATATTTTGTGTAGCATTAGAATTTTTTGTTCCTTGAATTAGAATTCACTGGTAAAAAACCATCTGGGCCTGGAGTTTTCTTTTTGAAAAGACTTTTAACTACAGATTTGATTTCTTTAATGGTTTTAGGATTAGTCATCCTGTTTATTACCAGAAATTTTAACTATTATATTTATTAGAAAATGTATATTTCATTTACATTTTCAAGTTTATTCTTATGATTCTTCATAATTTCCTCTTATAACAGTCTCCTATTATTGTCTGCAGTATCCGACGTCCCCTCTTTACTGGTAGTGTGGCTATCTGTGCCTTTTCTTTTTTCTTTATTAATCGACTCAGAGGTTTCTCAATTTCGTTAGCCTTTTCGAGAATCAACCTTTGGCTTTTTGTTACTGTGTGTCTCTTTCTTATTTTATTAATGTATAATCTTATCTTTATTATATTTTTCTATTTTCTTTGATTTCTTATGCCGTCTTTTTTAGCTCCCGGAGATGGTGCTTTGTTCACTAACTTTCCCACTTTTTTCTTTTGAATATAAGCATTTAAGTTTATAAAACCTTCTTCTAAATACTGATTTATGTGCATCACACAAGTTCTGATATACTTTTATTAATTGTTCAATTTCAGTATTTCCTACTTTCCATGGTTACTTCCTCTCTCAACTCTGAGTTACCTATAAGTGTTTACTAGATTCCAAATACATGAAAATTTTATAATCATCTCTTTCTGATTTCTAAGTTAAGTATATTGGGTTCAGATAATGCACCTGTAGGATAACAGTCCTTCAACTACTTACCGGGCCATAGAGCAAATCTTTAACATATGCCCTTGATAAAAATGACTTTCTAAGCTGCTGAGTATTCCATATAAATCCATTAAATCAAATTTAATGACGGAATTTTACAAATCTTGTATGTTTTTAACAATTTTTGTCTTCTCGATCTTTTAGTTACTGTGAGAGGTTTGTTTATTTCTCCTTTTAGTTCTATCAAGTTTTTCTTTATGTATTGAAGGCAGTATTATTGGTTGCATACATATTTGGAGTTATTATAGGCTTCCTGATGTTATCACTTTTACCATGATGTTATTGTTTTTATTTCTTAAAGTAATTTATTTTTTGCTTTAGACTTACTTTTTAATTAGGATTTTTCTGGTACATTTTTTCCAACATTTCATTTCAACCTACTATATCCTTAGGTTGTAGTGTCTCTTGTAAATATCATAAACATGATTTTGTGGGTTTTCTCTAGTCTTCTATCTGGGATATTTAGCTTAATTTACTCTAAGTATGATATGCTTTATTTCTACAACTCATTTTATAACCACTTCTAGGTGTTACTTAATTGCTCTGTGCCTCATTTTTTTCACCTGTAATATGGGGATAATACCACTATGGTCGTCATTTTCTTCTATTTGTTCTGTCATTACCATTTATTTCTTTGGTCATTTTCTTTCCTTTCTTTCCTACTTTTTGATTGAATAATTAACTTTCCTGATTCCGTTTTTTTGGAGCATCTAGTTTAGAAGTTGTTCATGTTATTTTTCATTTTCTTAGTGCTTATCCCAGAAGTGGAAACTTCCATAAACAAAGCACCAAAGCTTAAGTCTAAATTACTCAACATCTTTACCCTCCTCCTGAACCTTTAAAATTGAAATTAAAGCATTTAATTCCAATCATCCCCTTACCAACACTTCTGTGTTATTTTGCTATATGTCAATGCTGTCTTAATAATTACTATACGGTAACTGTTTGTTTAGATTCACCCGCATGTGTGCCGCTCAATCTCTTGCTCCTTCTTCCTCTCGCATCTCTGACGTTCCATCTGGCACCAATTTCTTTCTGCCTGAGATTCATTCTTCAGAACTCCCTTCCGTGAGGTTTTGGGGGTGGAACCCCTGGTTTTGTTTATATGAAAATATAATCATTTCATCTACTGAAAAAGATTTGCATCACTCAGCACATTCTCCGAGACTATACCACTGGACTTTGTTTTTGCGGATGGAAAGTCAGCTGTCAATCAAATTGCCACTTCTTTGAAGGTAAATCTGTCTTTTCTTTCCAGCTCCTTTTAAATCATCCCTTTGTATCTGGTCCTTGAAATTGTATTATGACGTGTCTATTGTGTCTTTTAAATGTTATGCTACTTGGAATTTATCAGGCTTGTTAAAA